CATCAGACACGACAAAGTTGTGATGATATCTAATTCTGTTAGTCGAATGCAATTAATTCCGACGGTGATTGTTGGTGAATCAATTGGAAAATAACAAAGCCTCGACAAAAAGATCACATGAATTAATAAAAATAACTCATAGACGCGATACAAGTATCGTAATTTCATTTTGTCAATATTAGATTTATTCTTGTTCTTTTTCGAGTATTAGAGCCAGTCGTTTTTGCATGAAGATCAAAAATTTTATTGACAAACAGCAATGGCTTTGCAAAAGCTTTCCTTCTTTGGAAATTCCGAGCATTAACTTATGAATTACGACTAATTGGATCTTGACAGGTAAGGTCGCGCAAACTCGAACGGTGATACGAGAGAACTAAGCACATTGCAAAGAGAGGTAAAGTTCGGAATAGATGCTCTTCACCCACAGCCATCGATTTACAGGTATGACATTGGTAACTGAAATGTATTTCCTTAATGAGAGTCGTGTCGCACGAGTTCCATCAACCTGTATACTCACTATGTTGTATTAGTGGTATGTTGTTACACTCACGAAGACAGGGTCCACAGTTCCACTCAACATCCTCTGTTGGGATAATGCAATTGGTGTTGTAGCTGAGAAAATAAGGGAATATAGTGTTGACCTTCTCGGTTATCGACCCGAAGTGCTTCGTTTTGTGTAACTCTATTCACCTATTCAGGTTCCTTCAACCGATCACTCCACACCTCAGCACCGCACTTGTGGATTTATAATACTAGTACTGCGTTAGAAATAATGTGGAATGATTGTTGCTCGGGTCGCGCATGTTAGTGTCGGTGTGTTTCCCGAGCTGGAGGGGTTGTAACCGCACAGGATCTTCTCAATAATGGATCCTCAGAGGATCGTCCTCTGGTAACGTTTCCTCGTTCAGACAGGAACTCTAGAGGTAGTGAAATAGAACACACCTGGAAGCATATTGCAATTATGCGAAAATCACGGTTATACACAGGAAAGAATGAGGACAGGGGAATACATATATCAAACGATTGGTTGATTGGATTTCTGTCCACGATCTTGATTGGTTGGCGGTTTCGGCCAATCACCTGAACTCATCTATCGATGTTTTGATTGGCTGCTCCTGAACAAAGCAGTTTTCAGGGAGCATGCTGACTCCCTGACAGAACGGTTGTTCGCAGCCACATAGTAGCCAGGCTAGGCACGAATGATGTTTTCTGGTCTGGCTACGATACGTAATCAAAAGTACGAAATAATACGAGTAAAACTTCTGATTGTATTAATTCCACAATACGATGCCGGTCGAGGATATTCGTTTATTGAAGATCACAGCTGGAAGGTCAATCATTGGGCATGTAAAACACAAAAACCGAATCAGAAACGTGCCATCGCAATTCTTTCCGACACAAAGGGTATTGTATAGATCAGTCAGTAGCTATTCTTCCAAACATATCCCTTGTCTGAGGACACCGATTTGAGCTAAATCATGGGTTCTCTCATGGACCACTTGCGCTGTGTTTTGGAGTAATTTTTCTGCCAGTACTCTGGCCCCTTTTTGACAGCTCTCCGTTCGTAAACGGTTCGGATGACTGCTACCTCCTTCGTTAATTCTTTGAGATTTGCTGTATTTAATGCAGGCTGGCGTTTATGGCCTTCACTGGGCGTAACAGGAGTGAATTTCTTTCAACTGAACTCCCTCAGGACATCCACCAGTTTGAATACATCCATGGTCTTCTCGGCATTAATTATCCATGCTATCTCGCGCAAATCTTTCGGCAGGCTCTCCAGAAAACGATGGAGCAGTAATTCCGAACGCACAGCATCATCCAACAGGCCGCGCAGGTCCACAGCATGCGACAAGGGGTCCAGGCCGGTTCCGAGCTGCTCCGTCCTGAAGCTCCGCAACGTCCGCTGGTGGTCAGCCGGGGTGTTAAAACCCGCGATCAGGGCGTCCTTCGCGGCGGCCCACTCCATCTTTTCCGGGCCTTTTCGCGTTGCATCCAACACCGCCAGCTCCCGGCCTTTGAGAAGCGCGCAGAGTGCCGTCAACTTACCCTGGTCCGACCGTGTTCCCGCTAGCTNNCTAGCTCCGCGACATCCTCGAACTCCTCCAGGCACGTCCGCGCATCTCCATCCTCGAAGGCATTAGGCCTCGGCACCTTCATCATGATCCTGGCGACGGAACCAGTTGTAAATCCAGAAGGCGGTGCTGGTCGAGGATATTCCTTCATTGAGGATCACAGATGGAAGGTCAGGCATTTGGCATGCATCACACAAAAACCTGAGCACAAACGTGCCATCGCAATTCTTTCCGACACTGGGTATAGAGCAGTCGGTAGTTATTCACAAGAAACCCGCTGTCGGTTTACAAGGATGCTGATGAGATAGGGAACTGGGGAACTTCTGTAGAGGTTGATTCGGGAGGGGAATAATCGATATGTAAAACGCGTAGATGAATGAGAGCTGCATTTGGACAGATCGCCATGTAAAGGATGAGTGGGGTCAAAGAGGATTTTTTGTGCGAATGTTTCACATGCGGACAAGTGAAGTTCAATCATTTTTCTAGATAGATCAACAACGGGTACAAGAGACACGACAGATGATCGAAAAACCTTGACGAAGAATTTTGAAGTCTTTCTTGAGTAGGCCAGCGAAAACCAGTGGAGAACAATAAAGAAGAATGGGAAAGACACAGATAAACAAAAAGCGAAATGGTTTTTGTTTGGTGTTGAGCTGCCTAAGTGATCTCAGTTGAAATGATAGTCGAAGAAGTTACTGTACAGATTTGTAAATATGGGTTGTCCACTTTAAGTTTGTGTCAATTGTAACTCCCAAATACTTCATGGAATCCATTCTAGTTGGGGGATCTGCGTTTATGGCCGAGTGGTCTCGGGAATAAATAGAGAGAGAGGTTGTAAGTGTATTCGAAGCACGTGGATAAATTTAGAGACAGTCCAGAAGGAACGGAAAATTCGTTGCTAGATTAGTCGACAAATTTAGAAGGTCCTCAGGCACAGAAATGGGTTGGGAAAGCGCTACGTGGTCAGCCTGTCTAAATAATTGGGCTGGAGAACTCGCTGATAGGTCACTGAGGTCGGTGGAAAACAAGAACAGACCTAATATGGCACCCTGTAGCACTCCGGAATTGAGTCGCTTTATTGAGAATAAAGGGAAAGGCGTAAACCGGAACCCTTAATCGCACACTAATGCTGATAAAAAGATCTAATCGATTGGTTACGCTAGCATCCCCCGTTCGTGTTTTCGATGTCTGGTCTGGTTAGATGCATTTGTACGTAGTACCATTGCTATGTGGAATTACCATTGAATACTACAGCTCGTCACGTTCTCAGTCATGCGGTGGAATATCGGATCAAAGTTTATGTGCGACAAATCACGCTTCGTGATTTGCACGACATGGATGGTCTATGGTGCCACTGTGTACAAAAAGGCCGGGGTAATAAAATGCATGGCTCCCCCCGCCCCATCCTTTTCCAAAATTGTTGACAAGCATTACAATAAACCGGTATTGCGTAATTTGCTCCACCTGATTGTTCCCATGATCTGATCTGTCTGAGTTTGTGTAACTGTTGACAGGCGGTATCATCCCTGTGTGATTTGTAACAGGATGCATAGGTGGCAATCTATGAATATTTCTATACAGCCGATAACTATTCTCGAATGTTCGTTTGTTCCCGCATTCCGTAGTTAATGGCAATATGCAAACTGTTTCTGTGACAAGTCATTTCTCTGAATTGTTCTCGGTATCTGTTGTGGAGTGTGTAACTACTGCGGGGAATTTTGTCACGTAAAAATATCGGTTGGCTTAAGTTGTTCAAGTCGCTGACGCGCTGGAACATAAACCGAGAAGAATCGGTGCGGGTTTTCAATCCGCAACTTGCCTAATATGCGACGAAGTTCACCACAAAGATTATAACTATTTGTAACAATAATAGACAAATCCGATAGTTAAGATAGACGATAATAGCCGAAATGTCAACCACACCGTTTACGTTTGGTCGCCTCAAACAAGTTCCGGTGCTGCGAACAACATTTGAAACCAACAGATGTCACATTGCGAATTTCAACCGTATGTGCGTATCCTTTTTCTATTTTGTCGAGTTTACGGACTTCATTGAAGCGTGAGGATCGCGCTGTGTGCGCAAATTAGTTTATTGTGTCTTGAGTGATCGCTTTGATGGATTCGTAGTTCGAATTCGGAGAATATGGTTAGCAACTTATTTATATTATTTGCAAGTGAAAATTTTGGATCAAATTATCACAGGACCAAGGAACGCAATTGTGTAGTTGTTGTTTCAGTCGATAAAGTGTGTGTGTGGGGGGGCAAACCGGATTTGACGAATTCCCGCTGACGAGCAGTGCAACCGATCGATCCGAGCATGGGGTCACAATGATTATTTTGCCGTTTTAGGCTGTGAAGGCATTCTTGTTAGTCGATGTTAAACGATAGTAAGAAGCTACCGGTAATCGAAGGAAACTTCAAACATTAGTAAAAGTGTAATACTCGGAGTGTATGCGGATACGAATGACGAAATTAATTCCAATCGGGCTGGTAACCAGCTAAGGAAGCTTTTGATACCGGGGCTTAGGGATTAGGCCACATAAATGGTGGTTAGTTCATTATAATAAGTATGTGCAAGTTATATCACTGGAGGAACTGTAATATTAATCAATAGTAGTTTGTATTCTTCTTGGTCCATTATTCCTGTTTGCGCCAGGCGTGTGTTGATTGCTACAGAACACCGGTTTCTCACCGGTATTGCTCAAAATGAATCGTGTCGCCCCTGGTACTGGTGCTGGATCACCAGTTGATATGTCAGGAACAGCGTACGCTGATCAGAGATTTCAACCAGTGTTAATTTCTCGTCAAATGCTGAGTCTTTTTGGCTCTCACCCATGGAATCCATATTTGTAATGATAAAATATTTGAAGTGGGTTTGCCGGTGTTGCTTCACCGATCGACTGTCGCACCTAATACATCCAAGATTTCTACCATGACCTGAATGGTCGTGTGTGTCAATGTGATAATTTCTTGCCTGACTGCAACTTAGTACCCCGGAAATAAACTTTATCTACTGTGTCTACCCATTGTAGTGGGGTCGTAAACTCCGTGACTTGAAAACAAAGACGGGACTCTTTTTGGAGGGGACGTTTGTCGCTTTAGACTGCCACGAATAGCCAAACAATCATCTGATGTTGTTTTTATAACCATGATCGTTGACGTTGGGTTTACTTATGATAACTGAAACCAATTTAGGCTTTTACTATGACCATCGCATGTTCCTACCAATGCATTCGTTATCGGTCATGATCTTAGGTATTCTATATGAACATAATTTGATGTCTCTGATTTTATTTTGAATTGGTTTTACCCATTTATGGCGCACAAACACTCTAGCAAACAGTTTCTCTCTGTGTCCGTCTGTTTCCAGTTTACCTACACAGGATACGCTTGTCGATTAGAGGCGTCTTTGACCGAGCATAAAATCGCCAGCCAGTCAACTGTTATCTATTTACTTTGCTTCGAATGCCGGCTTGGTGCTTCAATTCGTGACGGCAATTCCAGCGCACTCGCCCACTTGCAGCATTTTGTACGATTTAGCTTCACTACTTAATGGAGATAACTACAGTCTCTGATAGTTTGTCATCGTGCTTGGGAACCACCGACCACTTGTTATCACCTGATATTACAGGTCATTGTGTTTTCACTTTATAGGCAAATATACACGCATGTACTTCTATCAAATTTTTTTATATATGCATGAACCACTTCGTTTAAACTAAGCCCTAAAGAAATCAAAATCCTCTCGAATCAGTTTGCATAACGAAACTGTTTACTATCAATTGTGCAGTAGTTATTTTTAATTTTTGGAAATTCAACTTGCCTGTCGTTTGATGAGCGCACCACCCACGATTGATCGATAAAATCTCACGCGTTAAGCGATCTAACAAGGTAAGATGGGGTGGACTAGTAACCCCGATTTAAGCCTTCAATACTGCAATTAAATGATTATTATTCATTTAATGGAGTACACATGGTACCGGTCTAACAGTCGTCTGCCACAACGTAGTGCGCTTTCATAGGCACTATATTAGTGGTTGGAGTGAATTTCACAGCACACACTCATTCAGTGGCAACGAGACACATAGCGAACCCGATTCCGAATGCGTAATCAGGGAAAACATTTTGTAAATTTGCGAGATGCTAGTCTCGCTAACCACGAGAAAACGTTTAGCCAAAATCATTGTTCTCTTTCCTCGAGTACGTGATATTTTAATAACTACCTAATTGCACAAAGAATGTTTTAGGAAGGGTGAATCGGTCAATTAAACGATGGAGAAGGGATGCCAGGTGGCCCAAGCGAGAACAATGATCGTATTCGTGGGAACTGTTCGTTATTCCGACCGCTTCTGGTCGATGTGAGTAATTAGATTAGTAACCTATACACTCTTCTATTGATTTTACACTGTGAAGTCTACCGTACCATGTCGGATTTTTATGCACGAATCGAAAATAGCTGAAATCTTGTTACACCTTAGTACTGCACTACACTTTCCGTTTGGAACACAACAAAACAGAAGCCTGAAGAACCACACAGTACTGACTGTGAAAGGGGACCGGTTTATGGCTCACTGTGTCTTAACTGACCATCGTATCATTCTCTAATCCGGATTAACAAAATCTTCATCTAAGCGTTTTCATACATCCGCATTCGATTATTTGCACAGTTCATGTCTGAATTTCTAATGGCTCTTGAACACACAAAGTGGATTCTCTTTAGTATCGAAAAAATTACCGAGAGCCTGTCTATCCGCGTGATTTATTATATTGTTTCGGGTGCTGTGGCTAAAAACGCTGGTCAGTATTACAGGATTAATCAGACTGAACCAAACACCAAACCAAGCATTCGCTGAGAATCTACTCCCGGTCTATAGTGTGGCTAGCACATCGTGTG